TCTCCAGAAAGGCTAGAATGATGCATTGCACCACAAAATACAGATGGCGTCCAAACCTGCCTAATGTTGCCCATCTTTATGTCAGACTTTGTAGACACTATGTACTGTATAGATATTGTGTATTATTTCCCTCCTCCGTGCAGACATTAATCTATATATTTGCTTGCCCACTTACATTTTTTTTTAAAAAAATTTGTTTCTTTTAGAAGGTCTATCTATTTCAAAGCTATCGTTCAATAGGTTTCAGTGCTACTGTATGCCTGAGGTAACAGACTAGAGATTCATTATTGGCCGTTTTCACTGTGACCCAGTGGTAGCTTCTTAACTCCAGATGAGCACATTATGTACTGAAGAATTTGGTGTGTCTGCTATCATGCAATACTGAGTGAAAAGCTTTACGATTCCATGTTATTTACAAGGGACTTGGACATCCAATCGTTGAGCTCCTGAACAGACAGATGGAAGCCCACCGCTCATAAATCCAAAAGTATTGAAAACATGAAGTAATTGGGAAATATTGCTTTTAACATGTCATCCTCAATAGAAGAGTCTTTTCAAATGGAAAATTCTAGTAAAGACGTTTGATTTAAAGTAATACAAAGGGCTTGTTGCGCTTCATAAATGTTTTTTGGACTTCAATATCAATGCTGTAAATGTCAAAAATGATTTCTTTATTTGGAGTTGAGATTTCAGATTTATATGACATAAGAGTTGGTAGGGTGACTTTTAAACAGGTTAGAGCAAAACTTTCTTAGTGGTTTCTTTGAAGTTGTAACCTTCACTCCCAGCCATATCCTCCATAACCTCCACTTCTACACATAATCCCCATTCCAGGATCAGCTGGTGCACCATTCAGAACGTGCCCAGCTTTAACGTGCACAGCCCTGAGGCTGAAAACGACCATTTTTGTACTTAAAATGTCAACAACTGATACATTCACATTATAGTAACTAAGCTAAACCATTTACCATCATGTTTCGTTGTACCAGAAAGTGCTCCCCGTTAAAAACCTTACTCTCTTTGTTCTTTGTTCTCTTTACAAAAAATAAGTACTAAAACATTTCCATTTAGTATTTAGCCTTTATCCAGTGCCAGTCGTAGGCGCAGCTAGAACTGTTGAGTGAAGTGTAGCCTAATCCACAGATCCACCCTGCTCTGTTTATCTTTATCTCTAAACAAGGCTCCCAGGATCAGCGATGTTATTGCTTCTGACTTATCACATTACCTGGGTGAGAGGAAAACAATGGAATGAGGAGGTAAAGTAGGCAGTTATGTGTATACTGTACAGTGCCTTGCAAAAGTATTCATCCCCCTTGGCGTTTTTCCCTATTTTGTTACATTACAACCTGTAATTGAAATGGATTTTTATTTGGATTTCATGTAATGGACATACATAAAATAGTCCAAATTGGTGAAGTGAAATGAAAAAAATAACTTGTTTCAAAATATTCTAAAAACTAAATAACGGAAAGTGGTGCTATGAATACCTTAAATAAGATCTGGTGCAACCAATTACCTTCAGAAGTCACATAATTAGTTAAATAAATTCCACCTGTGTGTAATCTAAGTGTCACATGATCTCAGTATATATACACCTGTTCTGAAAGGCCCCAGAGTCTGCAACACCACTAAGCAAGGGGCACCACCAAGCTAGCGGCACCATGAAGACCAAGGAGCTCTCCAAACAGGTCAGGGACAAAGTTGTGGAGAAGAACAGATCAGGATTGGGTTATAAAAAAATATCCAAAACTTTGAACATCCCACGGAGCACCATTAAATCCACTACTAAAAAATGGAAAGAATATGGCACCACAACAAACCTGCCAAGAGAGGGCCGCCCACCAAAACTCACGGACTAGGCAAGGAGGGCATTAATCAGAGAGGCAACAAAGAGACCAAAGATAACCCTGAAGGAGCTGCAAAGCTCCACAGCGGAGATTGGAGTATCTGTCCATAGGACCACTTTAAGCCGTACACTCCACAGAGCTGGGCTTTACGGAAGAGTGGCCAGAAAAAAGCCATTGCTTAAAGAAAAAAATAAGCAAACACGTTTGGTGTTTGCCAAAAGGCATGTGGGAGACTCCCCAAACATATGGAAGAAGGTACTCTGGTCAGATGAGACTAAAATTGAGCTTTTTGGCCATCAAGGAAAACACTATGTCTGGCGCAAACCCAACACCTCTCATCACCCCGAAAAAAACCCCCCATTTCCCC